TTGATGAATGAAAGAAAATTAATATAACTATATTATTGACAGAACCAAAAAATCTATATATATATATATGAATTTTAGTTGTCTTTTGGTTATGGTGTTCATCATTATTTTTAATACGTGATCCTCGTGATGTTCTTACATGTGGAACATATTATAGTTTAATAATTGGTTCATCGAATGTTTCAACTCTTTTACTAACAGCTGCATCTATTGATCGTTTTGTTATTGTTGTTTATCCTAGTCATTATTCAACATTTGTAACACGAACCAAAGCATTAATTAAAATATTATGTATTATAATATTTGTTTCACTTCTTATTATTCAATATCATTTTTCATTTTATTTTTCTTATTCATATCATGTTTGTGAATATTATTCATATGCTCAATTATGGCATGGTAAAATCTGGCCTCTTATACGTGTTAGTCTTTTAGCATTTATACCATGTATAGTAATATGTGTATGTTCAATGGTTATTTTAAGAAATCGTTTTTATCGTCGTCCATCAACAACAAGTGAAACAACAGGAACAAGACATATGCGTACAGCTTCACTTCTACTTGTTATCTATTCAATATATTATACATTAAGTGTTATACCAATGAATATTCTTCAATTTTTTCATTCATATTTTCTTAATGATGATATTAATATAACAGAAACATCGAAAATTGATTGTGTTAAATTTGCTCAATGGAAAATGTTAATGAAATTTTGTTTACTTTTAATGGCAATAAATTATTCAAATAAATTTATTGTTCATTATCTTATATCAATGCAATTTCGTCGAGATGTTTGGAATTTATTATCAAAATGTACATGTACTTCAGAAAGGTATAATCAACGTAGAAGAAGTATCGATGGTAGTACTTATAATTAACCTTTTTTTTGTAATATAAGAATTGTAAATATTCTAAATAAAAATTTTTGGAAAAAGAATTTATCTTTGTTACCAATTAAAAGTAAAACCTTTGAAATGGATACTATGATACTAATATAGTTTAAAAATAAAACTTTCATTTCTTTATTTTTGTCTTCGAAAGACTTTATGAACTATTAACATATCTACATTTCTTTTATACACTAAATTTTAAATAAGTGTCAAAATCAAGGACATTATTTTCTAAACTATTTCGATTAAATTGATCTCATCATTGATGAAATATCTGTTAATATGAAGATTTGTACAATGAAGTGTCTTTGTTATACATTTGCATATATGATACAAGAAACGAGTAGGAAGGTCAAGCAAGCGAACGAATTATTGATGTAATGATTGAACTTTTTGATCGATGGTTGAGAATATATATATTAATGAGTAATCGCGTGTTTAATGTACTTAGACATTGAATATATATATATATGTATATATACATATGTAAAGCGTATAACCTATTACTATGACAGTCTTACGGTCAAATCAAGCGCGACCGATATTGTTAAGTGCGTTAATGTAATTCTTGAAGTACATATTCATTTTAGTATTGTAACAATCATAAGAAAGATGCGTATGGTATTTTTTGTCGTTTTTATCATCATTTATATACAAGTTAACACGATCTTCTGTGAATCAGGATTTGGTAAAATAGATGATGTCATTTTCGTTTTGTTTTCTTGTATATTGTAATCATTAGGAACTATTTTTCCAATACCATTGCTTACGTCAAATGATGATCCTAATTTTCAACAATGTCCAGTAGAAAGTGGAGCATATCCACATACAACTAATTGTTCACTTTTTCATATGTGTACATTCGGTATTCTAACAACTTATTCTTGTATTGATCAATTCTTTTTCAATCCAACTACTGGTAAATGTCAATATTTGTCAACTGTAAGTGATTTTATTTTTCTCTACTCATTAATATATAATATTATTGTAAATTAAAGGAAAAAGATATGACATGTACTCAAATTATTAAGAAAATGACGGATACTGATCTATTTTCATCTGCAGAATCAGTTAAAGGTAAATAAAACGAAATCATAAGATGAAGACTTGTGTTTTATGTTATTAGGTTATGATTATTATCATCGTCGAAAATCTGAAAAATCAGAATGTACTCAAAATGGAATCTATCCAGATGTACTTGATTGTGCATTGTTTCATTATTGTCATCAAAATAAACAACATGAAATATTCAAATGTCCCGATGGACTTCATTTTGATCCAAAAATATTTATGTGTTCAGCTCCTCAATTAGTTTGTCTATTTAACACATATATATATAGATATATTTATTGAAATAAAACGTTTTTTTATTTTATCTCTTCAGGTCAACTGTCAATATGAACCACCACTAGAAGTAGAAATAACCGAAGATACAATTGATAGTACTTCAACACTTACATCAAGTATTGATAAAACCAAATATTTGTTTTCTTACTAAATTATGTATTCATTTTCTTAGATACAATCTGTAATGATTATGCTCCTGGTACACATCTACCTATAGCAAATAGATTTGATGCATTTATAATATGTGAAAATGATGGTAAAAGTACCCTTATACAATGTAAACCAGGTCTACGATACAATGCATTAACAACTAATTGTGAAATAAGTAAATAGAAAAATTCTTCTTGAATATATTATATATCATTCTCTGATAAGAACAATGTGAAGTCAATTCAGCTTTATGTAAGAATAATGGTCATTGCATCGATGAACCAACTGATATAAAAGGTTTTCAATGTATATGTTCAGATGAATATCGAGGAGAATATTGTGATACACGTAAGATGAATTTTTGCTGTCATTTAAATTAATATTTGGTTCAATGATTTAGCCGTTGAAATTATAGAAACAATTACAAAGACAATGGATACAACAACACTAGATCAACCTCAACTTACTAATCCTCCTCCGTAAGTTTTAATAATTAATGACATCTTTGTATATCTATTTATTAATTATAGAGAACTGGTAACATCAACTATTCCGGCAATGACAAATGATGACTTCGTACCAAAATCAATATCTTTGTAAGTCTATTATTTGGTGATTTTTGAAAGAAACTATTCGTATATTCAATTCATAGTAATGATCTACATAATAACGAGAAAAATAATGTTATTGAAGATTTATCAACTATTAATTCACCATTTACACGCATATTTCATCGTTTAAATAATAAAGTTGATCATCAACAACAACTTACTGAAATTATACAAATCGTATTTATTACTGTTATGACTTTAATTGGTCTTATTCTTTTAGGTTCAATAATCTTTGGTATAACTGTTTGTATTCGTATGATAATTTCTCGAAATGTAGACAATGTCGGTACTTGGAAAATATTAACAGAAGAATCAAAAGTTTAAATATACAATCTCATTTCATCTATTGACTATAGTATATAATAATCCTGTATTAGCTTTGTTTTTAATTATAAAAATATAAAAATTATTAAAACTAACTTCAATATAAATAAATTATTTTCAAGTGTTCCATTATCTATCCAATCATCTACTGATAAAACATTATGACTATATTTTTCATATTGAAAAAATGATCCATTAGGAAAAATAATAACATGATTAAGAAAAGCAGCTTGCTGTAATTGTTCATCACTTATATTAGCATCAGTTAAATTAGCATTTGTAAAATCTACATTAGTCACATTTGCATATTCAACTTAAAGATTAATAAATGATGCATGTATTAAATCAACATGTGGTAAATAAAGATCACGATAAGCTTATTTCCTAATTCGATATTACGTAAATCTGTACTAATTAATATAAATGTCATTCGATGTAAATAACGAATTATAAATTGTTCAAGTGCCGTGAAGGTCATAGATGAAGCTGTTATACATGCTTTATGATCATCTAATTGCTGATCGTATGTTAGAATTAAATGTGACATACCTTTTAAATAATTGGAAAGTATTGTTTCATTTCGTTGTTTTTTATTTTCTTGTATCGTTATAACTATTGTGATTAAAGCTATAGCAAATGGTAATAGAATTGATGAAAGTCGATTATTGAAACCAAGCCATTCTTTATAACCTCGTTTCTTATTTATGGACAATTTAGTATTGTTATTGCTAGTTCCTATTCAAATTTCAACTATCTCTTGTCATTTATCATAATAGTTTCATATCAAAGTACTTTTCTTCTCTTTATTATAGACTGATATAATACATATTCCTACTAGTTGCATACTATTCTGTCTAAACATGATCAGATAAATATAGTTCATTACGGACATCTTTTAATTGTTTCTTCATTTGAACATTCAAATATATATATATAGATAATTTATGGAAATATTCCATTTTGTATATATTATCCGTTATAAATTTTGTTCGTTTCTGTTTCTTATTTCAACATGTGCAAGCTGGAGGATGTCGACAATAATTATCCAGGCAAACAGATAACATTATTAAATATTCTAATCTATGCTGTTGATGAATATGGTAAACAAATTAGTTTATTTATTTTTTATTATTAATTATTTTTATATTTAATATTAATACAGGAATTAGTCATTTACTCGAGAGTCAAACTTTGGATGAATTAAAAACGAATTCATCGAATACTGAAGAGAAGATGAATGAAGAAAATATCTCAAAATCAATGGAAGTTCTTTTAAATCAAATTGATAATAATCTTTCGCTAACACACGAAGATTTAACACCAAGTATGTCACTAAAAGTCACTGAACTATAGAATATAAACTGTTTTATTTTACTGTTAGATTCATCAAGTTTTCACTCAACTGACTGTTTCTCGACACAACCATTCTCTATTCTTGATTTACAAGAGAATGATTTATCTTCTTGATTAATAGTAATCATAATATTTCTAAGATAAAAAAGAAAAAGAAATTACGTTATCTTTCACGTCGATTAAATAATTTCAAGAAACAACTCAAAACTT